TTCGTGAACTAAGCATATATAAAGTAAAAGTTCATAAGATAATTTCATATACTGACATATAAAAGACATATCAAACGTTTTATCGAATCTAATGAACGATTCAATTTCGATGGCTGATAATAATTTATGTCCTTAGGGGTAATGAACGCCGCCGATTATTACGGATTGGATGAACTCAGACGAGCCTGTGCAGGCTTCGTTCAATGTTGTATAACCGTTGATACAGTCTGCGCTTTGTTAGCATCAGCGGAGCGTTATATTCAGTACAAATGCACAAAATCCCTAGTTCAAAAGGTAAAAAGGTTTTCGATACTTTCGATGCTTTTAATGCTTAATTTTGTAACTAATTAATTTAAAACTAATACTAAACTCTTTGCGAAGGTACTAGAGTTCGTCGATGAGCACGGCAATGAAGTATTGAATTTAGGATCGTTCACATTACTACCGCAACACGTTGTCCGTTTGATCCTTGCCAGAGAAGAATTACGTGCAGATGAATTTACGAAATTTCAAGTAAGCTTGACACATGAATATGTTAACGACATTAATCCGACACTTTTCTGCACGGCGTTAATTTTTCTTCAAATTAACTTCTCGCTTACAGGCTGCATTAATGTGGAGTAAAAAGTATTGCGACAACAATCAAAATACACCGTTGAAAGATGTAATTGGTAACTTCATCGAGTACATTCAATTTCACAAAATTCCAGCTACTGTATTGATGCAAGAAGTAAATCCTTTGGGACTGGTGCCACCGGAAATTATCATGAATGCATTAGCTTATCAGGTGCGCGTTGCCTTTTCATATACTACGTTTTAAAACGCAAAAAGACGCTATTGATATAGTTAGCATTATGAAATGCTAACTATGTTGTGTCTCACACAATTCCTTGCGACAGCGCCATCAGTTTCTTTATGAAAGAATTTGTTGCAGGCAGACCCAACCAGTGTCGACCCCAGAAAATTCTCTCCCCACAGAGTGAGGAGACAGGGTCGCAGCATGTCGGTCCAGTCGTCGCTGGATCCGTATGGCAGCATCACGACCTTGAGCTCGAGCGGCTCCGACGCCGGATCGGATCAGAAACAAAATTCTGGTAGCAACTAACCTCAGGCCACGGCCGCACTGATCGCGGCCGTTTCGGACGAACCTCGACGAGCCGAGGCTATTTGTGGCCCCGACGAAGGAGCGGCGCCGACAGACGTTGTTATCGCAGAAGAAAGAGAGCAGAAAGAAAAACAGCGACCGCAACAGCAACAACAGCGGCAGCAGCAGCAGCAGCAGCAGCAGCAACAGCAGCAGCAGCAGCAGCAGGAGCAACAACAAGAATCTCAAGTTCAGGTTCATGCGGAACAGGAAGCGCCTCAATCACAGCGTCCACCGCAGGAACAACAGAAACAGGAACAAGTGCAGTCGCAACAAAAAGAGCCGGGTCATTTACAGCAGCAAGTCCGTCAGAAGATAGAGAAGGACAGGGAGCAACGGAAGCTTCAGCAAGAGCAGCAGCTATTGCAGCGTAAACTGGAACTGGAAGAGCAACTACGACGCAAGCTGGAGCGAGAACTAGAACAGGAAGGAAAACCGTTGCAACAGAAGGTGGAACATGAAACACGAAGGAAACTGGAAAAAGACAAGGAGGAACAGCAGCAAATTATGCAGTTGAAAAAAGAAACGGAGCAGCTGAAGAAAGAAGAAATGAAACGTTCGCCGAAAGCTGAACAGCGTGTGCAGCAACAGAAAAAGGTTGACGATAAGCAATCGCAACTACCGAAGGCAGATGAACAGCCGGAACTGCAACAGAAACGTAAACAGCTGCAAGAACCGCTGGATAAAAATGAGCGAGCGAAACTGCGCAAGCAAGGTGAGAAAGTGGAGGTATCGCGTCAAGAGTCACTTGTGCAACAGCAAAAGATGGAGATAACAGTGCAAGAAGATCAAGAGGCACAGCGCCGGAAGGAGAAGCCGCAGTTGCCACAGCTTGGGGAATCGCAGCAGCAGCAGCAGCAGCAGCACCAAGAGCAGTCGGAAATCCGGCCGCTCGAGGGAGTCAGTGGACTTTACATTAGGATAGTGCTGAGGCACGAAGGTCGCGCGAATCTAGTCTGGCTATATAAAACACACATATTCTAAATTTCGATGATTCGCCTCGTCGCTTCCGTCTGAACGTCTCAAGCGACCTCGCAGCTATACGGCTCTACGACTTATCCATCCATGTTGAAAGGTATCGTGAATGCGAGACGTAATGCATCAAAATGCATTGCAGCGCTCCGCATTATTCCGGGGTTACTTAATGTCTTAAGAGAGCATCGGCGTTTCCTTTAATGTTCTAATGTCGGCGCGTCGAAGTAACGCGCGCGTCAGAATATCAATTGGTGCATGTAATGATCAGCTTCTTCTTCACGACGCAAGTGAAGCTTTAACGGTACATCTTTGCGCCGCCGCAATCTCGGTAATCTCGATATGGGCGTCGCCATTTTCTAGATATAATTAATCAAAGGATTCCGTTAGGCTTGATTGTCCATGATCGTGGAAGAAGACAATCGTACTCATGTTATTGTTGCAAGAAAAATATGTATTTGTTAAACGTAAATATGTGCATGTAAACAGAAATGCATCTGTCGCTTCGTTCGTCATGCTTTCTCTATCGTTCGACAGGCTCATACCGTTCAGTCCAATAAACGCACCATTGAGGACAGATAAATAACATGAATTAAATAAGTGAATTAAATAAGTGCAGTTTAAAGATACAATTTCTTATTTACGCGTAGTTTTTATTATTTGCATTTTTACGATTACTCCACATAATTTATCTCGTGCAACTTCTTTTTTTTGTACGATAGTTTCTAATTTGTCATAAATTATATGTTTGCCGTAAACTTCATAATACTTTCTACCATCTTTACTTCTTACCATTGAACTATTACTCTTACTATTTCCATTATCAATCAACGAAACTGCATTTGTCAAAAAAATTGACTTATATTGAACGAACTTTTCGCTATGAGACTTAATGTGGTTATAGTAACAATTTCAGAGAGATACTGTATACACTTGTTAAAAATAGATCTTATATTATAGCCAAGAGAGACATGTAATATATATTCTATATGTTTCTGGATAATGGTTATATGACAGTAATAGATGACTAGAGAGCCGATATTTTGTCATGAATGCTTCCCTGGATATTATTACACTCGATGCTAGACATATGTATTCTTCGTTCGGTTGCACCGTCAATTATTAGAAAACCAAAAATCTCAGCGAAGCTATGGTTCAAGTAGTAACAGAAGTCTGAATTCTCGCCAGATATAAATTTCGCTGAAACGAATATTTTATTGCCGTAGTTTTTAACTATAATAATTGATGCATGCAAGCTACAAAATAAGTTATACGTTACACTTCAGAGTCCGTTATAAATAAAAAAACACTGCACTAAAGTTTAGATACGTACGCGCGCTCTTAGTAACGTTAGATATCCGGTAGAGATTACACAGAAGCAGATTTAATTTTTAAACGGAGCTTAACGCATAGATCAAAACGTCAACAACAACTGAGCGTAAAACTAAAACGCAGCTGTCATCACCTCTGGTGATGTTTTTTATTACTGTCGCATATGCAGCTTATTTGCGTAGATGTATCAAAGATATGTTCATAAATGTGAATATATTTACTTGTCTATGAACCGTTGTCTGTTGTGTGCAGCGACATTTCTATTGTTTTATACGTAAAATGTATGTACAAAAAAAAAATATATATATATATATATATATATATATATATATATCGTTGAGCAGCCTAAATGGCGCGAACTCCTTATCACAATGTTAATCGATAATGCGATCGAGCTAAACATAAGTGGACAAAGTATGGCATAAAATATCATACTGAGATTCTTTCTTCTCATTTAAAATAGCTTCAATTAACATGTTCACTGTCACCGACGCGCAGGCGCGTCTTTGATTTGCGCTTGTGTCTTTTTAAGCGCTTAAAATATAAGCGCCGAAAGTTTTATACAACTCGCCTCACTAAAATCACTTTTTTGAGAAAATTATGAGGAAATGCTCCTGGCGAAATGTTCCAAAAATAAAATGAAAACATAGTGATAGTAAACGTGTTAATTCAATGATTTCTTTAGCAATTTGCTGTTCTGCTATTATTCATCTGGCTACTGCGTATTTTTAATCAATACGATATTATACTGGTATCCGTTAGTCTTCCATCTATTCTTATTTTGAGAGGAAATGAATTTTTCAATTTAATATAGATAACATCGTGGTAACTTTAGAAGTTTAAGTTTTCTTTACAACATAATTAAGTAATATTTACACGTCTGATTTTATACACGTCCCTTCTCCTGAACGCATTGTTTATATAAAAAGCGTACTGCATTTCTTCCGTTTGACGATAAAACTATAACAGAAAGGAACGGAAGACAGACACACTCACGTATAGAATTGTATAAAGTTCAAACCGTTAATTCGCTGGCGATCGGTATAACTCTACCTAAAAGTTCGATCTATTTACTGTGATATGCCGTAGCCAAATCAGTCCAATTATAAATAAAGAAAAATATGACGCCGAAAAGTGAAGTTCTTCATTTTATCTCGTGACTTGAAGCGTCTGCGGGAAATCATAATAGACATAATCAGATGGAAGGAAAAGGTAATTCAATTTATAGAAATACAAAAGGTAGTACTATACATCAAAGGTAGCGTGCGCGTTTTACTTTGACGTTGATAGTTTTTAATTTTTTTTTTACTTAAATGCAGATCTTGCGCACATTCAACACCTGGATTACGTTATTCCATTCGCTCTACCGTATCCCGTGCGGGAAATGCTGAGCGGTCAACGCGATGATGAATCGTAGACAAATCATCCCGAATAAATAGCGAAAGGTGTTACGCGCCAAAGAGATCGATGAATATTATCATGACATTTCGCACCCGTGCCTCTCTGCCGACCTTGTTCTCCCTCCACGATCGAATCGACTCGTTACGAGCGTCAGATGGCAGGCGCATCACAAATAATTATCCTTCCAGCATCCTGGCTACGTTTATGACGTAAGATATCGCGAGATTTAGTCCGTACCGATCTATCAATCGTGCCATCTGCCATCGAGGCTGTTCCATCGGTGTTAACGGCCTTTTAAAAAGGTTTGATTATATACCGAAATACCAATCGCATGAGCAACAGGAAAAAATATTATATTCAATTTTTATTTTGAAAACATAACAATCATTTTACACTGGATTTTTAATTTGATATTTAAAACAACTTGTGCTATGTATAATATAAATACAAAAATTTATACACTTATTCAAGATGTAGATTACGACAAAGATAATAAAAAAAAAGCAACATCGTATCATTGTTCAGTAAAGTCAATAAAATAAAAAATAAAAATTGATATGTAAGCAATTTTTTATTAATATATTATAATTAAATGTGGTATATATAATTCAAATTATTATCGTTATTATTATTATTATTATTATAACATTATCAATAGTTATCCTTATTAATTGGTAATTTAAAAAAATAAAAATAAATAATGTGATTTATAAAAATCAATACGTAATTGTTCAAATAAAAGAATTGTTTAAGCAAAATAATACAATATAATATAATTTCGATAAATTATAAATTTACATTATTTTTAAATTTATTAATGTTTATGTTTTGACAGCGTAAACTAATTCCTAACAAATATTATACGTAACACACAGTATTACGCCGACCACGTTACACATATATCCATATGTCTGGAATGTGTGAAAGATGCCATTATTAATACTCGCGTCGCGCGAGCATTAATTTACAAATAGACAGCCGTTTAACCGTAATGCAATTTTTAATCTTTAGTCTTAAGAACTACAGCTCCGGAAAAATATTTATTTAAGTTATTTTTGTTTTAGTTTTTTACTGTGATATGTTAAATCGCAAATTTTGGGATACTCTATATTCAAAAGGCTATATACAAAAGGAAACTTATGTAACTTGTTCCGTAAGTGCTGTTTGTTTCCAATTTTTCTCAATAATTTCTCAATAATTTGCACGTACAGTTTATTTACAGTCTATTATGTAATTATTTCCGTAGTCATATATTTTGAACTATAATAAGACTGCCACATGCGATGAAATCATCTTGAACATCAGCAATTAATGTCAGTGCTTCAGAAAGAATGACAAATGAAGTACATAATACATATAACGATTATCGGTTTGCTCTATTAATACTAATGACACTTATCATGAGTATTGTCCTATTTTTCTGATAACTTCATTAATCATTGCGTATCAGCGAGGCAAGTTTTCTATAAATTGTCTAGTTATATCGAGAAAACTCAAACAATTATTGCCAGTTTTCAAGCTTAATAGCATGATGCTTCTTTTTAGCCTTGGTTTCATATCCTTGTTACTTTTTGCAATTGCCTATAAAAATCCGCATTATGTCGGTAATAGAACTTCCATGGTTCACTTATTCGAATGGAAATTCAGTGACATTGCCAAAGAATGTGAAGACTTTCTCGGTCCGATGGGCTACGGTGGTGTACAAGTACGTATAATTCACTTGTATAGTATAATAAGTAATGATTGTATTATAATATAATTTCTTTACTTTGAATAATATTATTATAATATGATATTATTATTTATAATTATTTTAACTAAAAATTGAATAATACTTTTTAAAATTAATTCTTAATTTAATTTAAGTTAACTCTAACTTAACTTTTAACTAATCGTAAGTTATATTACTTTTAATGTACTGAGTTAATTTTATAACCCACTCTCTCTTCTCTCTCTCTCTCTCTCTCTCTCTCTCTCTCTCTCTCTAATTTAACTCGATCAAGAAAAAGTTAACTTATCTAACTCTGTCATAAAGCAATTGGAGCCAATTACGGTGCTGCATTACAGGATAGAAAAAGAAAAATTTTTATCACACACGTAATGCATATATTTATAATATTTTGTTATTATATTAAAGAATAAATTTGTCAATTTTGTTCCTGCGAATTAACATTATACAAACATTATGCAAACTAACAATATATGGTACAAAGTGCAAGTAGAGTTAGTTCTGCATAGCACTAAATGCGTTACATATAAAAAAATATAAAATATAAAATGCGAAATGAATTCTTGTACTTTCGTAGGTTTCTCCCATAAGTGAGAATCTTGTGATAAACGGCAGACCATGGTTTGAAAGATATCAGCCGATTTCTTATAAAATTATCAGTCGATCCGGAACCAAATCTGAGTTTAGTAATATGGTGCAAAGATGTAGCAAGGCTGGTGTGCGAATATACGTCGACGCGGTTATCAATCACATGACAGCAAATGCACAACCCGCGTACGGCGTCGGTCATACACCAGCACAGCCAAATAAGCTTCTTTATCCAGCAGTTCCGTATAGTTCTAACGACTTCAACCATCCAACATGTACTGTTCAGAATTATAACAACGCTACTGAAGTTCGCAACTGTGAGCTGTCTGGTCTTCACGATCTTAATCAGAGCAATTTGCACGTCCGAGACAGAATAGTTCAATTTCTTAACACACTCATCGATCTTGGAGTCGCTGGCATACGGTAATTATTTTCAATTAATTTATTCTTACCGTATGATACTTTTTATAAAAAATATATAAGAAAATAAAGACAGAGATTGTTTTTGTTTAATTTTGCAAAATCAAAATTCTTAGAACATATTAAAAGTTTAATGTTAAAATAGTTAAGGACTAATTGCAGCATTATTTGTGGGATATTGAGAATTCTTTTGTGCCGTTCATAATTTCTACTATTGAACTTTAACTGAGCAAATAAAATACAAAATATTAAATTATTTACAACAAGCGATCGCGTTTCACCGATAATCTTTGTCTGCGTGCAACATCAACGCACAGTCGATCTGCATTCCACGCAAAATGTACGAATGAGATATAAAATCCGAAGTGTAAACCCACGAGATGCACTCTATATAGCCTCCCTCTCGTCTCTTTCTCTCTTTCTCGTTCTCTTTCTTACATCAAGGATGCACCGAAGACTGATGATGTTTAACATTAAACCGGACGAGCGGTGCCGCGCGATACTGACAGAGGCTGGCTCGTCTGGTAGCATTAATAAATGAGAGACATCAGCTTTTAATTACGCGCCTCGCTCGTAATTGTAACCCGCAGCGAAATCGTACCATCTCGTACCGAACCGGTGGCTTTACAAGCGGAAGAGCGATATACGCGTCGAGAATGATAACGGGGCGCGCTGCCGTTCTGGGGACTGCATTTATATACGCATCACGTCTGCGGATCGCGAATGTTTTGCGTATATTTCAACTAAAAAAATGTGACATTGATAGCGTACATTAAGAAATTGTGACAACCACAAAAGTATGTTAAAGTCACAGTACGGTCGCGGGAAAGGAAATTTCATGGCACAATATAGTATATTGTACAATATATGTATACAATCGTATTCTGCCGTTCTATAGAATAAAAAATCTTGCTAAGTAAATTTAATAATTTTAGAACACCCATTATTACTACCCATTACTACTAAAGCAGAACGATCTTAAAAGAAATGTTGCAACAAAATCGTCACTGCCTTAATGAAAAAAGAACTATAATTAACGTACATATCCATATAATAATCTTGCAGAAGTTTCGTTAATTATTATATGGACAACAAAAAACACTTGTGATAAGCTAAGAATAATTTTGCGGCAATGTGATTTATAATGTACTATAATAACCAGAGAAAATTAATTTTTTCTTTATTAGGCAGTGACGATTTCGTTGCAACATTTCCTTTAAGATCGTTCTGCTTCAGTAGCAATCTCGCGTGTTCTAAAATTATTAAATTTACTTAGCAAGATTTTTCTAACAAAAGATTTTACCAACAAAACAAATAGATATTAATATCGAGCAATTTTCGATAACAAAGTTTTTTTTTTCACATATAGCAATACAATAATTTTGCTGAGACAACAAAATTCTTTTTTTTTTTAAATACGATATTTCGCTCGCACGAATTTATCAATATATTGAAATTGACACGATGAAATTATCGTGAATGCATATACGATAATTTTACATTATTTGAACTTATTACTTTATAATATTGTTGTAATGGAAACAAGAAGGCCATAATCTTGTTTCATGAGAATCATTACGTCAATGTTATCTTTCTTCTACGTATATGTACATCCCTCTTTTCCTTTACATTTCTTTAATGAAGTTATG